TCACCTCTCCGTGTTATTAACGGCTTCAGTAAATTAGTTCGATGTTTTGAATGGTAAAGCGGAAAGGCGAGGCTGCAATTGAACAGTTTAATCGGGAAACATTTACAGGCCCGTTACTGACAGCAAGCTGATCCCAATTTTTGCCACTTTCTTGTTTATTCACATCATGTCCACAAGCAGCTGTTTCCAAATGTTCCAGATTGTTGCCACCGGTAGCCATCGTTTACTGTAACGGAAGCTGTCACGAAGATATCCGTATCAAGATGGACGGGATCTACCGCGCGGGGACGCGTGGGGCGTGGGGCGTGGAGCGGGAGGAGTGTGTGGCATACTCATACACCTCTCTTCCAACTGGCTCATTATTCAGGCAACTGATCGAGTGAGCACGTCTTCATTTTAAAGTGACGCGAAATTCCAATGCAATTCAAATCAACCCCAAATCATGTTGACATAAAAACTCAAAACTCGAATCAATTATTTCCGAAATTACTATTAAAATCCGTTATCTAACGGAATTCACCCTAATGGAAACTTTGAAAGAACACACTGATATTCATTGTAATGAACAACCGTTGACAAACTAATCTGGTTCATCTAAATCGGTTTTGAAAAACCTTCATCTTAAATTCTTTCGTGAACACCATTTAACCATCTGAACTCACCTACAGTACGTAGGTATCCTGTTCTACCATTTGATTGATCCTCAATGAGGGTCATATTATTCCGGTTTTCTTGCCCCTTTCTGTACAAACATGTCATTGAAATCACATTCAATTATCTTCCTGTCAATTATTTGTTATCTTTCAATGTTGTTAGTTCCGGGACATCATTATCACCAAATTGCTTGCACAGAGTAGCCGAAAATCGTCCGCATCACAGGACGGGACGGAGGGAGGGAGGGATAACGTCTCTGTGTGTGTGAGGAACCCCCAACGGTGAGGTCAGTTCCCAGACTCAGTTCGCTGGGACGATCCCCATTATCGTCCCGGGATGAAATAGCCAATCAGTTCACGGTCAGCGACTGCAAGGCTGTGCTGACACAGAAGAACTTTTATGCGACTGCTATGTGAAAAGCTGTCGGCCTAATTTTTTTACATTTTATATACCGACTGTGTTGTCGGTAGATTATTTTAGACGAATCATACTAAGCAAACTGATCTAGAATTACTGTTTGAGTGTGAGTGAGCTGGATAAGAATATTTAGAATAATAAAATAAGATATACCACTGGAAAGGTAATGGTAAAACACTTCTTAGAAAAATTATCCTGCGTACCGTTTGAAAAAGCGCTGATTCCATAACTATCTCTTATTAGAGGCGGTGGCTGAATGACCTACAGAGAATCAATTCCGGAGGAAGTGTTTTCTTGCACTTCACTCTAGTTGACCTGGGAATACGTTGGTGTTGGTCTCTGACAGAATTTACCTACATCAGGTGTTTCAATTCGTTGTTTAATGTAACTCTTTCGCTGCTTTGAGTGTGCTTAGCATCATCCGGACGGAGTTTGGTGGTTTTAGTTTATTAGTCTAAGTGTAGCGAAAGTCGAGTGAAGTATCATCTGTTAAAATGACATTTAGTGAATTAATTCTTGTACAAAGCAGATGAAAATCTAGAAATTACTAGACAATTGTTACGACCTTGGTGAATCTCGTCAGTAGCAAAGCGAATCCACTGACTCAAGTGAGGACTGAACTCGGGATCCCACAGGTTGGGCGTAAGCATACTGCCCACTTGACCATACACTATACAATATATCAAGCCCATTCCGAGCATCGCGCTTCGCGCATCTCAGTGCAGACCACCAGGCTTATGACTCTGTACACGACGATATTACCTTCATTAATTTCATTTTGTAATACATATGTACTCCGGTGTTGCAAATCACGGACAAGAACAAACAAGCAGTTGACGAAATCTGGATAGGTTTGTAAAATTGGTAATGCTACCTATTTACATGAAAAAGTAACATTTAATTTTAATCCAGCATTTTTTTCAGAAAATTAATCACTCTCATAATTTTTAACCACCTCGTGTCGAATGTTTGAAAGTCGTCAACAGCGATTTGGACACTTATTCGGGGTCAGTGAAGACGATTCACTAGCGATGTTTTACATCCAATAAATAGTCGAGAAAACCCTATAGCTTAATTACATCTGGCTTATCGTACCGAACGTCCAGGGACCACTACAGATGAGAATATAAATCATCAATTTTTCGCAGAGTTATATAACAACACAAATATATCAATTATTTCTGACGTAAATTGAACTCTGAACGACATAATATGTCGATCTCCAGTTACTTTCACGGAAAATTTGGGTGTCTGACACTTGATTATGTGACATAGTGCTCGAATTCTCACTTATTCTCTCATAGACTCTCACCCGTATACACAAGTCGTCCCGTCAATATCAACGCAACATTATTTTCTGCTGATGAATTGAGTATCTATCGACATATCACCTTGGAGATAACTCACTAATAAGCATTTCAGCACACCAAAAATTGATATTCAAACATCTGATTGTGTGGCATCATACCCCTTCATATTTCTGAGAAAATGATAGCTTAAATACAATTGTGAGTCATACTCTGCTATGGTTCAATGGTTATCAAGTTCAAGACATATGATATTCTGTTTAAATAGTTATGGTTTTATACTGAACTCCATTACGCATGCCAAATATTTCGTGTTCTTCGAAATTTACTTGGACAGTAATCACTATTAATGGTCGATTCTCATCAGCCTCTGTTCGAATGATGCCATCCGAGTTGTGAGAAAATTGCTGTGATCCCGTGGTGATAGAAAAGCCCTACGCGAAAACACAGCTCAATCAGGCAACAGTAGTAGTAATAGCCCACAAAACTGACGAGAAAACGTTCACGCACTCTGGAGATCACAATCTAGATTGAACGTGGACTTAATTTTAATCAAAGAAAAATACTCCAAACTTCTTACTGTTCGCATGCAAATCGTGTTCCATTAAAATAAAACAGATTAGACAATCAAGCGATTTGCTCCCACTCTCGTTCACTCCATCGCTCGCTCGGTTGATCGGGCATTTGTAGTCTCTGATGAATTAAACTGTTCATCGGTACTGACAGGTTGGTTTCCACCAGTTGTTGTTGCTGTTGCTGTTGTTGAGCTGAGCTGAGCTGGGCGCGTAACTAAAACAACGGTCGCCTGTGGTAACCGGATATCCTGCCGTATGAGATTGTGTGTTTATGTCTCTTTGTGTGTGCTCGCGCTCTACTTTAAGGCAGTCGACGAGTGGAAATTCGTGTTTCGTTGATTTTTCGGACGTTAGGATTTTCAATCTCTTCTGGCAATGAAATAATTTCCAGAAGAATGTAAGAACCCGTTTGTGATTGGCCCGATGTGCTATGTGCACCGACAAACAGCCGCCATGCACATGCATGCCGGTGTCACAACTTTTGCTCTGCGTTCGAACGGCGTTTACCGGCATAGACAGACCGTAACTGAACAGCTTTTTATACACAACAGTCATTAAACTCCCCTCTCGGTTTCAAACAAGAAGTTACAGTAGCTAGAATTCGGTAGATTGAATTTAGTTCCGAAGATTGTAGGGTGACAGAGAACGGTCGGTCGGTACAAGAATTTAATCGGAACAATCTCCATTCTTGTTTGCATAGGTTAAGCTTAGTGAATTGATTGAACTTCGTTATCATCGAGATGCTTTGAATGTTGTCTGTGTTAAGTAATCGTTCTTTGTCGGTTCATCAGATGCCACAGAAAAAAACATTGAATGACACTTATGTCGTCAATGTGTGTTGGTTAGTAACCTGCATTTTCAAGTTTAAAGTATGTTAAAAGTGCTTCTAGATAAATGGGATCTATGTGTATAATGTTAAGTATTCAGAGATTTTACTTTGATACTTTGTAACATCCGCAAGACTTTGTTTCTCCTTTATGTCCTTGAGTAGTGGGCATTGCTATTTGATGTCCAAAATGCTAAAACGCTGTAATTCATGGTCCGCTTGGAACATATGTGAGCTCCGTGCAGTAACAGTTCTGCCAGTAAAGTATGTTCAAATTGAATATACACTCATACCAATACACCCCTGCAAAGTCTGACGTGAGATAATCAAACTTTAATTATACAACAAATCTTATCACTCTAATTTTCCCCGATTTTATTGAACGAACAGTAATGAGGATATATATAGAATTGGATAGAGCCTGCATAAAACGAAGTTTATAAAACTCTTCATCAACTCGCTTCCCATTGTTGTGATTTGATTCTCTCGTTCGCATTTCGTCACAGAAACATGAAGGTAATTGCAGTTTTGTTCCGCGGAAACTGGTGGCTTGCAAAGATGATAGCCAAGTCGATCTAGCTTCATGTTGCCTGTTCGTTCAACCGGTACTACTAGGTTACACAAGTGTTCCCCACTCCACACACACAAACACGTACACTTTTGCATCATTACACAAAACTGTGCAAAGATAGTTTTTTATACATTGAAGATTGCAAGACCTTTACATCTCACCAGAAACGGCTGTGTGTGCGTGGACGAGTATACATCCAAATCCAAGACTAAAACTTCGCGTATTACTCTTCCCCCCTATCTGCTCTTCCCAATCGGTCAGGGCTCAATCAATTCATTTTATTACTCTACACTGGAACCGGAAATCTGTCCTGTGTTCCAGAGCAAACCAAGAGTCGTGACACCATAGAGCAAGTGTCCAGCCACTTCATCCGCCTTACCAAAAGGGACGACACGCCCAGTGGCAGGAGTACACTTTTACTTCTACTGTGCACATCTCAACTCTCGTTCGTTTGGTGGTGTTTTCCCCCTGGGCATATCACATTTAAGAGAAACATAGTGAGGTTGACAGAAAGGGAAATTTTAAATTAACGTGCGTTTTAACACGAAGGTTTGTAGGACAGGCATCCGGTAAAATCTATCATTGTGTGTGTGAGTAGACAGTAAGTTAAAACGTGTAGTCTACTATCTCCTGAAATCTATGTCGCTTACCTTAAAATTACCCTCTAAAACAAATGCAACTGGCGCAGAAGATTCAGTGAGAACCAGACTGTGTATCTGATAGATCAGCTTCGCCAAAACATCGCACTGCTTGGTTTCACTGGCATCCAGACAGATAATGAAACGTGTTTGTTGCTGACTGAGGAACCGATCGAAAGTCAACGACAATTTGCACAGTTTAACGAATTCTTCTTTAATCAGGATATCCGCACGCCTGGCCCGTTCTTCTTCTGCAGTGATAGCCATATTTTTCAATGAAGTCGAATTGCCCAATGAGACGGGATCATTCGGTTTACTAGGGCGTTTCGACAGGCACGTGTATTTTCCTTTCGGTTTCAAATCATTGTACTCTTCCTCATTCGCTTCATCACTGATAAATTCGGCCAGAGCAGCTCGGAGAGGCTGGACTGGGTTGATGGTCAAACTTCGAACAACCCGATACAGTGAACGAATAGATCCGAATAGACCAAGAAATAGAATAGAACTCGATATGACAAAAATCCCGATCTTCGCGCTGTCGGTTAGCATGGTGGCAATCTGGCCGGAGTGATATCGAATCATCCCAGTCTCCACCACAAAGGCGATGCAAAATGCCAATACAACCAGGAAGGCAGGTAAACAACAAACACGCTTGAAACGACGATTGTGCAGAGCTGATTTGAGCATGTTTGATTTCCACCGGTTTGTTAGGATAGAAAAGACGGGTGTAGATAGAAATTATTGTTCGTTTGTTGAACTGCGAGGAGATTAGTGGTACACAGACAGTGTAACAAATAAAAGACCATCAAGACGAAAAGTTTTGATGTCGGAATTGTTGCCACCGAATTCCCCTCCAAATGCAGATATTATCATATAAATCTACTCCGTTGTTTTTTTTTGTATTAGGTCAAGATTTTGTGATGGTGACCTGATTAACATTTTCAAGGCGTCCCAGGACATTCAGTGCCTAGTTTTCGATAGGTCGTGGCTTAATTTGGAGCTTTATGGATAGACCGAATGAAATCTTGTACTGTCATTCAAC